AAAAAAGGTAAATAGGCAAAAACAAGTTAGACAAGAAAAGTTGAAAATATACAAAGACAGCTCCAACAGTCTAACTAAACTATACTCACTAAAGTATTTACAATATTTACAGTATTTACAATATTTACTCACTAAACATTTACAGTATTCACTAAATATTTACAGTATTTACAATATTTACTCACTAAAGTATTTACAATATTTACAGTATTTACATTCACTGCATGTTACTGATACTATTTTTTTGTCTAGTTATTTTCGTTTCCAAGTCTCATTCTCAACTCATTCATAATTCTCACCCTTTTTTGATTACCCACATCTGCACCTGCTGCTACGACATGAGGAACATCATTCCCATCATTGGGACAAACTACAACATCGTCTATAATATCATTTTGCAGTATGCAGATATTATGCATTACAGAGCATGCAATAATAAACTGTGGTATTTTGGCCACATCAGTGAGAGGTAGACAGTCGAGTAAAATGCGAAACCGCATTTTTAAAAGCCCGAAAGCTTTTTCAATGGCCATGCGAGTAGACGATAAGCAGTAATTGAAATTTTTTTGCCTTGCAGTTAGGTGTCCGTTATCTCGAAATGGTACCATAACATGCGAATGAAGTGTATAAGCTGCATCGCCAATAAGATGAGAATCTGCAGGAAAATATTCATGTGACCTCTGAATAAAATCAGCTATAGGAGAATTCCTAAAAACTCGTGCATCATGCACAGAACCCACATGCCCAGCATAGCAATGTGTAAATAGGCTTCGAGCATCACATACAGCTTGGAGGTGAATAGCATGAAAATTTTTCCTGCAGACATAAGAAGCTGCATCTTTTTTAGGAGCTCTTATCTTTATAAAGGAACCATCAATTGCCCCAATAACGCCTGGAAAATTCTTTGCTCTTTCAAACTCTTCGATCACGCGAGTAGCTTCCTCTCCTCTTGGCCATTTTATGAAACGTGGCGCTAGACAGTTGAGAGCGTGAATTACACGCCTCACAGCACGCCATGCAGTACCTTTTCCTACACCAAACTTGACGCACATAGACCTAAATATAGAATGATAGAACTAAGTTGGAATCTCATTTAACGTTTGTTACTATGTCAGATGGATTGCGATTAGCTATCAGGTAGAAAATTCTTAGGGCGCATTCAAACCTTGGCAGAAAAGTAAAAAGTAGACAAAAACTAAACAGAATTCATGCTGCAATAGTAAACAGAATAGCAGAAAGCAGAAACTGTTGCCAAGGTCTAAATGCACCTTTACAATCATCTCACTCAGCATGTAATATTTCTGAAACATTGCTGTCATTGTTTCAATATTATATGCTGAGTGGGATCGATAGAGACTATAGAAATTCTTCATTCAATAGTCAGTCGCTACATCTGATAACGGTGATAAACATTAAATAAAATTGCAGGCTTACAGCTGCATTTTTAACATAATCAAATATTATACATACCGATATGAATCTGGAGTAGCCATAAACCATAATGTAATTAAAAGTTGCTTCTCTGCAGATATTTGTTTCCT